GTTGCTTGTTCATAAGGTAATCTTTATGCATGTTTCAGGAAGTAAACTGAAATTATTAGTGCATTAGAATAAACCCATCAGTTCTAACCCGTAATATTCTGTTCTTTTTTTTTCTGTAATATATTCCTTATGATAAAATCAGTTATGTAAATTCTTGTAATTACAGCTGTGTATTATAACAAACTAATTTTAAAAAGGTAAGTATGTATATAGTACTGTACATGTAGGTAGACAATAAGTTAAAACATGAAACAATCCTCTACCAGGTATTCACAGTTACTTAAAACACATTTTTTTCTTTTCAAACTCTTTCATATTTCATGAAAGACTCAATTACAGTTTAACATCTTCCACCTCTACAGATATGCACAATAGGACATTTAGTAATTATGACAACAACTTGTGTCACATTCTTTATTGTAATTATTACTCTAAGGTACGCACATTATTATTTCCGACTTCAGATTTATTTGTATAACATGTTTTGTTGTTTTAATGTCTTTGGTCTATATATATGTTATTTTTTCCAACTTTTGGGGCAACTCTTCCTAGTTGCCATTATAATGGGTTTATGTCTGCATTTTATTGCCTTCTCACCACACTGCTATATATGATTTTGCTTTTGACATAAGAGAACTTGTAAAAGAGGATTGCTGCACTCCTGTTTGATTTCTAGATTGGTTTCCTTCAGGATTTAAAACAAATTTTTGCATCTTTTTTAATATTTCAAATGAAGATTTTGTGGATTCTATAACTTCCATTGTTAATCTTCTCCTGATGTTTGTAATTTGGGTTTTCTTCACGGAGCCCTTAATTATAAGCATAGTTTTCTTCCATGTAAAGTATTTCGTATGTCATTAAGATCCATTTACTGGTGCATCAGATTCTGAGATTTCATTAGGCTTATCATTGGGTTCTGTAGAATATTTTTTTGTGGTTTTATTTGTATATGGCTTTTTTTACCATTATTGCCTCCCAATAAATGTATGCCTTTACTTCCTTCTTGTCTTTTGATTGACTTCAGAAGGTTTTTAGAGCCAGAAGTTACTGTACTAGTCATATGAGGATGGATTTGTGATGGCTTTAAAAAGGTCACAAGATGGTGCGAGATGAAAATGGGCTTGAAAAAGGTCACAAGATGGTGCGAGATGAAAATGGTGGAAAGACCTCATTGATTAGCTTTCAATGTAAATAGTATTTAATTAATTTTAAGTAGAAAAAATTTCTGTTTAAGAAATTTCAGTCTAGGAACATCGAGTATAAAGTATTCCTTATAAATGGTAACCATGTGTCCTTGGTCTAGTTGAGAAACTGACATCACATTCGGAGGTTAGGTTTGATGGTAATATAAACCACTTAAATATATTCATGTTTGTTAGTCAGGTTTTACAACACACATCTGTATATGAACCATCTTTTATGTGTTTGTGTTTTGTTATGAACACATCAAAATGTTCAATTATTTTTTGACGTGAGTAGTATAGGAGTTGTTTCTTGAGTTGGATGATGTTTCAGTCTCTGTACTGAGGACTTCTGCTTGGAGGCCACATAAGAAACATGGCAGGACTAGTGTATTAGAAATTTCAACCCAGCAATTTTTACTTTGTTTAATATAAAATACAAAAATAACTTTTTATAAAAAGATTAATAAATTTAAAGGAATTAATAGGTGATAAACATGAAACAAGAGACTTAATCCTAGTTTTAGGACTTTAGTTTGTGAACAAATTTATGGAATAGATGTACCTTTTTTTGTAGGAAACAAACAACTAGCAGTACTATAAAAAAATTGCTGTTGTATTTAAACCATCTCATACTATTATAATGGAAACATTAATTTTTCTATACATTTTAGCATTATGATGGACTAGAGTGCAGTCAACAAATGCCATCCATCTCCATTGCAATCAATCCCTCAAATGGTTTACCAGCTGGTGTCATCACCATGGGTACTCCAGCTGGTATTGCTGAACAATTGATGGTTGCTGTCCAGAATGCGAATGGTGTTACCTCTGTTGATCCTAACAATGCTATGAAAGGAGAGAGCTCAGGTAAGACCAAGAAATGTACTGATTTCCTTTTTTCACAAGTTACAGTTTAATAGGGATATGTTTTACTATTACCTGACTACTGTAATTGAACTGAAGTGACTTGAATGTACACTCTTAAGTGATTTTTACAATTAATTTTACCAGTTAAGAGAACATGTCAATTAGAACAAAAGTATATCAAGTATCCAGTTTTTGAATAAGAAAGTTTATAAAGAATACTTTCATCTTGTGATTTTTTTTTTCCTCAGCTAATGCACTACTTGCTGCTAAACTTGGCAGCAATGGTATTGGAATAAATGGTTCTACTGCTATGATAAATACACCTTTTGGTCCTTCACCTCTTGCTGGAGTCGTGGGTCTGACTGGTCATCCTCAGGTGCCATCATTCGGTATTTCTGGACTTGCAGGTATTAATATGGTCAATCAGTTAGCTTCAGCCATACCAGGTTTACAAGCCACAACAACCCTAGCTAATAGTGGGGTAAGCACTGGCCTGACAAATGCAACTCCTGTTGCTCTTAGTGTTGCAGCCAATGGTCAACCAAATCTTCAACAGGCAAGTAATCAATGAAGGAAAGCATTTAAGGCTTACAGATATGTGGCATGGTAATTACAGTCAAGAGATAATAAGCTTTTAAGTTGTTTTTGTGTGTGTGTGTGTGTGTGTGAATACCCTCTTATTTCAAGTCAAGTTGTTGATGATTAAAAAAGTCTTCTTTTGATCTGTTATCTTGATAAGAAATATAATTATCACTTTATTCCCTGCTAAATAGAATAGGATAAGGGGTCACAAGTTTTTGTGGTTGTTAAAACAAATGTATTCTTCAAGATTCATAATAGGCCCTTGAAAACTAGATATTTTGTTTTTATTTTCTAGGACCTCAAAAAGTCTGTGAATTCCAATAAAACCTGTTAGGTCATTGAAGAGCTCAACATGGTCCAGTGGTTAGCGTGTTTGATTATGGATCTGAGGGTCCATCATTCATATCCCATAATATGAAAAGAATTTGCACTTTGCTTTTTGGGGCTGTAGTGTATTATAAGGGTGATGGTCAATTACCACTATTTGGTTAGACAAGAGCACCCTAAATGTTGATGGTGGGAGCTTTAGATAAGCTGCCTGCCATCTGCTTTGTCTGTTCAAGATTAGGGAATGCTAGCACAGATAGCCATTGAGTGACTTTGTACAAATATCCGTAAAGAAAAAAAGATGTTATTAAAAAGCTCTAACATTTTTTTTTAATTTTTGAAAAAGGAAGAAAAGCAGTATATTAATTTCTGATTGAAATAACTGAATTCTTACCGATATGATTTATTTATGTTTCAGTGTTTGTTATTTTATTAATCGTTATGCTTCTGTGGAAGAAAAGGAAATTTATGTTAAATGCTCGGTATCTTTGCACAAGATTTAGATCATATGCTGACTAAAACATTTAGACCCAAGGTTGTGTTCTTGAAGGGTCAAAGGTATTATCCAGCTTTCAACAAAGAGAATGTTATCTCTTCCTAATATACATTATAAAAGTTTTTAAAAGCTACCTTAATTGAAGTATTAGATTGTTTTAGAATCACGATCTAAACAGTAGTGAAGTATGCAAATGTAATGTAGTAGGCCTAAATACATTGCAGTTAATGCTCTTATTATATCAGTTCAAATATTAAAGAAACAAGCAGAAGCTGAAGTATATAAACCTGCACGAAGTAATAACAAAGATGAACTTTTTAAAACCTATTTACCCTAAATATTGAACTATAAGAATAATTTAAAAAAAAACAAGAATTACCTAACTATATACCCTAATTTTAAAATCAATGTATTAGAAAACAGAGGTGTGTTTTTTTTTTCTTTAGTATCATACCTGTGAAATATGTAAAGAAAATAAATAAATATATTAAGATACTACAGTGTAGATTCAGTAATAATGAATACTCAAATTGATTCATTTTTATTACTACTGTAACGTTTGAAAGAGTAGTAACTACAGCAGGCAGTCATATCATTTTGAAGATCCTGTTGTTCTTTTTGATAGATGATACCACAGGCAATTGCCCAACAAGTTGCTGCAACACCTCAATTTATCTTGGCAGCAGGCCAGCCGATTCAAGGCATCCAGGGAGCTCAGTTGCTCATTCCTACATCTTCAGGTAGATGTTGGTTGTCAGTTTGACACATAAGATTTTTGTGATTGTTATGAAAATTACAGTATTATTTAATTATCACCAGATAAAACACCATTATTTTTATGATAAGCATACATTTAACATCATCTTTATCGGTGCATGCAAAAAAAAAAAGACATAATACATTGTTATGTTCAAATATTTAAACTAAAATCCACCCAAACATTGAACACATGAAGGAAATTTGTATAATGATGGTCAGGTATGTGGCTGTAAGAAAGATAGTAAACATTTTGATAAAAATTATAACTCTTTAGGATTGTGCTAGTAGGTTTGATTTTGATATCTTTATGTGAAGAGATACAGATGTGGATAGAAATTATTTGATACTTTAGTATCACTGATGATGATGCAAATGTTCAAATAGATGCCAGATAAATTATTTTTTATCAACACAATCAGAGTTTTATCAACCACATTTCTAAAGTAAATTGTTTCAGAGGTAAATTGCCATCTTCATTGGATTACAGTATTGAAGACTTTAACTCTTTGACACCCAGATGGGTGCATCATACTTCAGTTGCACCATTGAATTAAAAAAAATATAGAAAACATACTTGAAGTCATTTTTCCACACTCCACAAAAAACAAACAAAAAATTTTCAGAGTTGAAGTGTTGTTCAATTTTATAGAATTACAAATTTTAATTTGGGGTTCATTTCAGCAAGTTCCCAATCAAATCGTTAATGTTTGAGAATTTCTTTGGCATAATATGCACTTGTAAGCCCCCAGGTGGAAAGTCATAATAGTTTTGAACAAAATAGTGTTAATTTCAATACAAATGTATATTTTTAGTCAATCACCCTTTCTCATGGGGTGAGGTGATTACCTATATCTTAACTTCAAAAAGTCATAATATATTGACCTGAACAAGTCAAGAAAGCTCTTTTTCTATTGATTTGAATTGTAAAAGCAATTATACTTACAGTACACTTGCAACTTGCATAGAGGTTGGGAAAAAGTTCTAAAAGTTTAACCCTAGAACAACTTCTGCTACAGTAACTGTCCTGATTTTTTTAAAGTTTACTAAAAGCTTGCTTTATCATTTTATACTTCATTTGAATTACAATGTTGAAGTATGTTTGGAAAAGAAATTTTTACTGTGGAACAAGATAAGGTAGGCTTAAATTTGATGACGAGGAACCCACTTTGAGACTAATAATGGTTGGAGACGGCTTGAATGGGTAAAAGAAAAACTTTAATATAAGTTTAACATAACAGCAAATGTACAACGTTTCCACGCTGATTTTTCCAAGCCCGTTCCATTGGCTGTGGTTTCCCTAGGTAGTAGATAGGGACAGTGGGAATCTCGTTAATCAGGTACCTGATGATGACAAAACCTTGTCTAAATGTTGTACATTTGCTGTTATGTTAAATTTATATTAATACCTGATGATGACAAAACCTTGTCGAAACATTGTACACATTACCCATTCAAGCCGTCTCCAACCATTATAAGGTAGGCTTAGTTAAAATCGCTTTGCACTCATGTTCCATTTCATTGAAAAGGCTGTTGTGTTAGGCTGTATGATCCTAAGTAAATGTGAATGGGTAAAGAAAAACCTCTAAAAAAAAATGTAAAAACAAATACATAAAAGACTGTAAGTTGTGTTTAAAAACTCCAATATTTATTAGATGAAGTCTTCTGATTAACAATTTAAACAAAAAGTTGGTCATGCTTATATTTTTGCCATGGTAAAAAAGTCATTTTTATTGTACAAAAGTTATTGTAAACTCGGGAAGATATAAAAAATAGATAACTAAAATCTGTAACAAAGGTAAATCTTTAATTGTTTCTTTAAAAAAAAATATTGCCATAAAATTTTGTCAAAATTTCAAAGATGTGTATTTACACAAATATGTATAAAATTAAGATGTTTGATTTGCTGAAGCTACATAATCTGTAAAAAGTAATTTATTTTCACAATGCAATTTAACAAACCATACAACAGATATGTCATTTTGACACACCTAGGTCTCAAAGAGTTAATCTGCAGCCAATCCTTAAAATTAATTTAAAAAGTCTAGAAGAATGTTTCACCTAAACAAGAATAATAATTGGAGTAACCACAAAAAATAATAATGATAATGTCAAGTTATAAGCTATGAGACTTTTAAAAAGCTAAATTGACAAAAATAAAACGTACTTGTTTATTTATTAACTTTTTGTCCTAAACAGTTGAGAAAAAAGTATGTGCAGGACAATTTTTCAGAATATTTTTTGGTATTCCAAAACACCAAGTTTAAATTCTTTTCGAATTATGGCTTATAGTCTCCTCGTATGTTTGGGTTCGACTGAAATTAAAACTTGCACGTGCCTTATAATTAATAAGTTTAGGAATAATATAAGGAAGCCATGTCTTAAGTTTTTTTAAACTGACAACTATTAATTTAGTCATGATTTAAGTCAGTATCTAATTAATGAACTAGCTGAATAAATGTACAGATTGTTTATAGTGGAAGATTTATGATGACAAATTTCCATTCTAACAAATGCAGTGTATGTGTGTGTTTGGAGCATGTTTTTTAACCAACAAAAGTTGAGAATTTCTGATTGAATGGATGTCATTTTTTTTTAACTTTTCAGTTGATCTGAAACATTTGAAAACAAAGCCACTTGACAAAAATATAGGTTAATTTCATGCAAGAACAAAATTTAGCCTTTTTTCTTATTAAGAACAAGTTTAAACTGTTGGTGATATTTTTTTCAGCAAGAATCTTTTCTTTGAGAACTTAACAGTTTTGATTATAGTAAATGATTCTTTGTGTGTTTTTTTTATCTTAATCTCCGAGAAACAAACTGTTAAGCATGTGTTAACCAAATTTAGTGCAAGAGAGATTGTATTTCAAAGAACAGTTACATTTTACAGTAAAACAAGCAAGCAGAAACAAAGTTTGTATTGTATATTAATCAAAAATGATAATGAGAAATCATAATGGCAATATTTCAGTTGCTTGGATTGTTAGAACAATCAAAAATAGTAATAATTGTAATCTTTAATTTTGATTAATTATGGCTATGTCACAAGCTCGTATGTCGCAGTCTTTTAGTGTTGCACTCAGAGTCTAATTAAAAGTTTTTTTATCAATGTATGTCAGTATATCTGACAAGAAAACAGAGTTTACAGATCAAGTTTTTATATTGTATAAGTTGTAACTTTGAATTAAAGAAAAAAGAAAAAGTTTAAAAATTCCCAATACTCGTTTTATTGAGTTCCGTGACGTATCTGATTTCTTTATCTCACAATTTTCTAACATCAAGAAATAGGCTGCTGTCTGTTCCAGCTAATTATGGACTCCAAGAATACATACTTACAAGCAAGAATATGAAATGTGCATCTCCTGTCTTCTTTTTTTGCTGAGATATCAATAAATCTGTTAAACCTACCACAGAAGCCCCTCCCCTCTCTGACTTTTTAGATTGTTTGCTAAACAACTTAATATGTTTTATTGTTATGCTTATAACCAGTAACATTTTTTAAGTTTTGGTGGAGAGAGGATTCGGTTGATAGGAAGTGTGTATTGTGTGATCACCGCACTGCTGCTCCGAATGGCTGAACAACTTTCTAATTTTTATTATTTTCAATTATTCCAACAATCCAAGTTTCATATGAGAATAATAGATTAGTTGAGTGTAATTGATTAAGAGCCTGACAGTTAATCCATTATCAATTCCACTAATTGCTCAGCTGTAATGATTGTGCCTAAAATATTTGTAACCAGTTCTAGAAATACAGATTTGTTAAATAAGAGAAATATATTGACATCATTGTTGTTAGTGACATTTTAAGTATCTTTTATTTTCATTGATCTCAACCAGTGCTACTCCTCTGATTAATTAATTGTACTCTGTTAATTTTCTTTTGAAGCATATGATAATTTTGTTTTATTAAATAGCATTTTTTTTTTCTAGGTGTTGCTATTCAACAATTAATTACCATTCCAGCATCTCAGTTTGCTGGAAATCAGATAGTGCAAATGGTAGCCTCTAATGGTCAAATTTTTAATACAACTTTGTCAAATCTTCAGTCGCTGTCCCAGACATTTCACATCCCTGGCATCTCTTCCACAAATACAGCAGGTTTGTTTATAGTTCTTTAATGTCAGAGCAAGTTGGTCAAAGAATTATATGTCCCCCTAGTAGTAGAATTCTGTAGAGTTCTTTTTTTTTGTCTCTTCCAAGCTCTGTTAACCCTACTGAGACGGATCTGATGGGTCAAAGGCCATGTCATCACATTTGTAGACTTACATTCAAAATTTTATTGAACTACTATTTTATGAATATATCTCAATAAGTTTGGTATTAAGTTGTAGATAGATTATAATTCAAATTTTAGTATTATGAATTAGTTAATTTCTTAATTTAAAAGTAAATATTAAAAAAAATTCTAAATATATTGATTTTTGTGTGTGTGTGTCACATGGTATGTCGAATGCAGCATTGGTTCAGATTAGATATTTATGATTTCCAAATACAAAGCCTATAGTTTCTTATGAATTAGGAATTCAAATTACCGATATTTGACATGCTAGCATATAAAATAAAAACCTCCTATCTTTTCTATTTGCTGAGATATCGCAACATTTAGTGAATCAAACACAGTGGTCCTGCCCACCTCTTTCCATTTTTGGAAATACTTGCTTATGTAAGCCTACTTCTGTCTATGATGTGTGAATAACCAATTGAAAGCTCAGAATGTCCCCCACATGGTTCTTTGAGCCTCTGTGAAGTATTTATACGGTAAACCCTTTATTTTCATGGTAGCTTTCAAGTGGTAAGGTGGGACATTATTGAGCTAAAAAAAAATCATATTTTTTTTAGACCCAAATACAGCTTAGTTACTAAGCCTGATATATTATAGTGGAATTTTATGGTATTTATATAGTAATTTATGATTTTTTGTTATTTCAAAATGCATATATAAAACCTAAAATATATTACACTTGATGCCGCTTATTGTGATCACTTCGGGACACAGTTGCATTGATAACAATAACCAAATGATAATGTTAACCAATGAAATAAAAATTCAGCAGTTACAGTAATGTTTATTGATATAGACTTTTTTCCCGTCACGTTGTGACCGTCTTATATATACAAGACTAACACATATCTAGTAAACGCTAGAGCATTCATGAAGGAACAGGATGTTTCTAGAAGAACGTGGCGTGATACTAGTCACGTGACCTCGCTGACGCAGTAATACGTATGCAATCAGTCGGGAGGAATTCTTTTAAAATAGATACGACGCTTTGGTCACTGGTGCGATCATATTTAAGTACACAAGTTTTAACAGTAAAGAAGGTGTAGTTGAGAATGATCACACCAGTAATCGACACCTTGTACATCTTTTTAAATATTCTTCCTTACTGTAAAGCATGGCAAGATGGTTAGAGAGCTCGACTCGAAATCTGTGGGACGTAGGTTTGAATCACTGTCCCACCAAACATGCTCGCCCTTTCAGCTATCGGGGCGTTATAATGTGCTGTTCAATCCTGCTAGTCATTGGTAAAAAGTAGTCCCAGGACTGGCGGTGGAGGGTAATGACTAGCTGACTTCCCTCTAGCCTTTCACTGCTAAATTAGGGACGACAATGCAGATAGCCCGAATTAAACCTTATAGTAAAAGCTGTAACTTGTAATAAAATAATACCTATAATCAGTAAGAAAACTTAAAATGAAGCTATTAATAAATATGTGTTTAGTTCGGCAAACAAATCTTATTTTGTCATAAAAGTAGTAATACAAATATTAGAGAAAGTGCAAGGTAATAAAATTATATGAAAATACAAAAAACAAATTAGCGTTACCGCCTCTATAAACTATATATTTGCAAAATATAGATGTCAGGCCGGGCCAGGAATTAACAATAACAAGGAAAATGTAAGGGAGATCGAAGTTAAGTAAAGAAAGAAAGTAAGTTCAGATATCAGTAAATTATAAGTAAAAAATATTCAGAGTAGAAAGCGAAACGTACTATAAAAGATAATGAACTATTTTGCTTTGAGTAGACTTTGATTAGTAGCTTAGAAAGAAAAATTACATTTAATAAGTTAAAGAGGACAGCGTATATTAATAGGGTTAACTCTTCAGTCTTCATACATTATAATTTATGTAATAACTGATATGTTTGGTTATTAACTTGTTATCCAGTAATTTCTGTTTATGTACTAGACTGTGAGTGTTATTAATATTAATAGTAAATACTAGTACTACTTGTATTTTCGAACGAGGGTTGAAATTAGTGATGTGATTGTATAACTTGTATTACTATTAATTATAAATATATGGTGATGTACATTTGTATGTTCTTGTTCTCTTACTTAGTCAATCTTACTGAATTATAAATAGTAAGTAGATTACTGAAATACTCATACTAATAGTAACAGTGATTAGGCTAGTTTTGTAGTACTACTAGTAGTAATATTACTACTAATAATAAACATATAATTTATAAATTATAAAACTTTAATAATAGTACCAGCAATATAGTATAGTAGCCTTAAAAGTAGAAAATGACACTGGATACCACTTATTGTGATCATGGATAATGTTATCATTTTTATAATGTTATCAGTATTACTAAGTCCTGACCAAATGTATAAAAATACATAGGAAAACCATCGTTTATTGTAACCAGTGCTTCATTTTTTGTTATCACTTTTAATCAGCTTAACCATCTCAAGGTCAAGTGATCTGAGGAAGGTTCACCATAAAATAGGGCATGGCTAAGTTGTTATTAAGATCCCCTACACTCTTGTGTTTCCTTTCCATAAATACAGTTCCATTGTTTTTGTTCCTTCATGAAAGACAGTGCTCCCACAAATTTCAATTTTTGTTAACCTTCTTTAATAATGGAAGAAGTGCACAAGAGAATGTAAAGATCTAACCCTTACAGAAAATGTTGCCATTTCAGAATGCTACCAAAAATGGGGCAATGTAATGCAGCAGTGCAATTAAAAGTTTCCCATCCTCTTTTGTGTAAAAGTTGAAAAATCGAGCTGACATTGAAAGGGGAGCAAAACAGAATTAAAACCTAAACTGTAAGAGAAAGCGCAGTGGAAACATGACCAGGTCAAATCATCATTAAAACTTTAGTTTAATAATGTTCGTGAACAAGATGCTTGTGTAAATGGACCAATGATGTGGCAGAAAGCGGCATACAGCACAGATCTGGTGAGTTTCATAAACAGTATGAATATGAAAGTTTTACTTGAATTGCTCTGAAAAAATAGTAGACAGTCAACTTTAAATGAATTTTTCTAATTCTTGTTTTAATTGTTTTTCCTTTCTTTAATTGTTTTTAAATATGTCAATAAATATAAAAATCCAGCTTTCAAATGTTTAGATAATATGTTTGCCACTGTGTGTAATTGAACTGAGTATTGTTGAGGCGAGCACGTGAGACGTTCGTTGAGAATTATAGCGTTTGTTATAGTGCGACTGTTGAAATAAAGTGTATCGCAAAGTTATATTCAGAAAGAATAAACCAGTTTTATTTAAGAAAGGACTTGTGTCGCTAAAGTTTCATCGGAACGAATTTACGGAAAATTAACTAACGAACGGAGGCGTAACAGTATATATATATATATGGCTTTTTGAAAGGTAGACCATTGACCTTTTTACATCTGAAATAAGTTGATGAATAAAGTCTTACCTTTCTGAACATGTTGAAAGTGTTTTTTATTGTTTTTTTTTACGTAAATACACATGTCTACGCTTGTTAGTTAAGAAGAAAATAAAATCTTAAACCTGTCTTATAACTCACTGCGACATCAGCTAATTACCTTTGAAATATAGCGGAATATAAATATAATTTAATCGCAATTTAAGGAAATGTGAAGCTTTGAAATTATTAATTTTTATTAATCTAATTTCCATATCTTTCAATAATTTATTATCATAAATCAACTTCACATGCTTCCATATCCCCAAGTTTTAGAGTGTGACATGAATAGATACCTAAAATGTAATACATTTATAAATTGAATACCAACTTTCTCTGACAAAAGCTAAATTTGATCATAAATGTGCGATCGAGATTGACTTTTTTGTGTGCTTTTGAATAGGAACTAGGTTACAAGAAATACACTAATTGAAAAATAAAATGCTTTATAATTTGTAGCAGGCTAGGACTGCTTGCTCAAATTATTTTAACAACGTTGAGTTTTATACACTACTGAAAAGTTATAGTATTTGTTTAAATGAAGAGTGGAAGTAATATAAATAAAAGAATAAAACATAACAAGTAATTGACAAAAACTATTTCTTATGGTATAGAAAGCGAAACTTGAACTACAATGGTAGAAAAAATAATTGCATCATCCAATTTCTTTCGCAATTTTCTTGCTTCTTGTAACATTTTTACGAGATTGTGCATTTTGGAAGTGCCAGAATTTGTGTAACATGGTTATGGACATTATATTATTCTATCTAAGGTGATGCATGATGTTAAAGTTGCACTCATGAAGTTTCTAGAGCTACCTCCTTTCTAGCCTTCTGGGATGCGAAAAATTACCAGCTACTTCAATGCTACATGATCAGTTAAAGATGGAACATCTAAAAGTGTAATGAAAATATGATGTGGTTCAACACTCAACTGAAAGATACTCAGACAGAGGATACAAGTTTGAAACCAATTATTCAAAGGATCAAAAATAGTGCTGAAAAAAAAACCTCATGACAAACAGTCGCTCCGAATAAACCAAAGACAAAGATGTACTTGGCACAATGGAATTCATTATGCTTACAATTAGGGCTTGTTACGTCGGAAATAGGAAGCTATTAGCGGACAGAAACAAGAACTACAGTTGTTACTTACACAGTCTCTATTTTCAGAAGCACTCTGTTATTTCCACCACCTTCCAACTACTGGACATTCTGGTGCTAAAAAGACATTGAAGACAGGAAGAGAATGATTCTAGTGGTTTGGGTACTAAGAATCATGTGAGCTATGCTTTGAGCAAAAATGCCCACGAAAGAAATATCATGGACAGCTATAGCAGTATTGTGTTGGAGTACTTACTACTTGAGAGAATTGCTGTCAGTATACTTCTTCCTTTACCACAGAATAATAATGGG